AAAGAAAAAGAAAGAAATCAAAGAGAAAGCTAAAGGTGCAAGAAAGGGAGAAAATGGAAAAGAAAAATGGAAAAGAAAGAAAAAAGACCCGGTCCTGCTTTGTGTAGGCTGTTCAGTGTATGCACTCAACTCTAGATATCAACTTTAAGCAACCTTATGTTCCTCAACATTAACATTTTAGAAATCATAATAATATTGACATAAATCCTTTTTCTTTATCTTTAAAGTTTTGAGTTAGCTAAATCATCAGTGTTAATCATCTTTACTCAACACTGTATAAATATGACTGTACCCAAATAATATAGTGCACTACTTGTGTTTTATAATAATACAATAAAACAATATTTAAAAATTGTACATTTTTTCCCCTATTCTAGGAAGTGACCGAGAGATGTATCAGCATGTTGAGGAACATCAAAAAGCAACTTTTGGCACATCAGAGATAAAAGGTGGCGTTTTGGACCATCGAGCAGAAAATGAAACACAGAAGTGGAAGGCGAAACCTATCAATGAGCAGGATGGGGTCAACCTTTGGAGATTTACAGCCCCCCCAAGATTGCACAAAGATGGGGGAAGGAACACATGCCTCCTTTGTGGGAAAGGGTTTACCCGAAAATCAAGCTTGAATAGACATCTTATTATTCATACTGGAGAGAAGCCCTACAAATGTTCTCACTGTGGGAAAAGCTTTAATCGGAAGACCAATCTTCTTTCCCATGAGATGGTACATGCCAAAGAGAAGTCGTATCAGTGTTCGGACTGTGGGAAAAGCTTCAAGCCGAAGTGGGGTGTCAACGCGTACCAGATAGACCACACTGGAGAGAAGGTGTACAGGTGTGCTTCTTGTAAGAAGAGCTTCAGGCAGAGACCAGACGTGGGGAGAAGCAGATGGTTGAACGAGCAGAGGAATGGTCTAGGACAATTGAAAGGGGAGTGGAAAGGAAGTGTCTTCGGTCCTCAGGGGGAACAGGAAAAGCAGGTGGAACATGAGATCACAGAAGGGAAAAACGTAGCCATGATAGGTCCGTATGTCGACCTCAGTAAAATTAACAGCCCATCAAAGGTGTATAAAGGAAAGCAGAGGAGCCCCTGCCCAATTTGTGGGAAGGTCTTTGCCACACAATCTAGTGTGAACCGACACCAGAGAATCCACACAGGAGAGAAGCCTTATCAGTGCTCCGACTGTGGGAAAAGCTTTAATCAGAAGACGAGTCTTCTAACCCACACTGTGATCCACACCGAGCAGAAGCCATATCAATGCTCCGACTGTGGGAAAAACTTCCGGCATTCCTCGGGGCTGTTGGTGCACCAGCGGATGCATACGGGAGAGAAGCCTTACAAATGTGCCATCTGTCGGAAGAACTTCACCCAGCGTGCGCATGTGATCAAACACTTCGTGAGAAAGCACGCACGAGAGAAACCACCAGCTTACCTTTCTCAGCCCCCCAGTAATGGTGGCAGCTAAAATAGGACGGCACTCTTCAGCTTTAGCTAAGAAATTGTTTTCCCCTCTGGAGCTCCTGCTTTGCGTCCTCACCACTTTGTTTCCTTGTAATTCACAGCACTGAGCACTTAAACCAGGAATGGGCAACCCACAGCCACGAGTCACAAGGGGAGGGGTGCCATTTTGCAGAGGGAATGCTCAAGAAGCACAAATTAAGTTCTAAACTAGGCTTGCCAGTGCTTTAAAATACTGTAGCTCCTCCCCCAACTCAGTTGGAGGGGAAAACAGCCCTGTCTGTTTGGACCACCAATTCTGCTGGAGACAAAGATGAAAAGTTGAAGCTGACTTTCAGCCACCTTGGCAAAATTGCTCAGCCCTGCGAAACAACTGCTGATGCCAAGCTTCCCAAAGGCAGGGAAACGACTTCTTAATTGTACAGGTAGTCCTCGCTTACTGACTGCCTCAATCAGCGACCGTTCAAAGTTACAATGGTGCTGAAAATATAGTTTTATGACCAATGTCTACATTTACGACCTTCGCAGTGTCCCTCAGTCACGTGATAGCCCTTACAGTCAGTACGCGTTGTCCTGTGCCTGACCTGTTTTACTTTTTTCCCCCCTTACAGAGCGGAGAGATTGGAGAGGATTGCAAGAGAGTAAGCAGGCACACGATGGGGAACACACATCGAAAGCAATACGGTGGTGCTGGCAGCCAATGTACTCCCCGTTGTTACTCTCTTGTAATCCCTTCCGCTCCAATCTCTCTGCTCTGTGAATGGGAAGGGGAGAAAACGGGTTAGGTCAGTGTTGTCCAAACTTGGCCACTTTAAGATGAGTGGACTTCAACTCCCAGAA